CCATATTTTTCCGCAGGTGTCGATTCGTGGCTTCAGCGCACCGGTGCGCACCGCCTTGTGTTGTAAATAATCAGGAGGGGTGTATTTACATGAATTCTGACAGCATGGCGCAGAAGCCGCGGAGGTGAGAAAAGAGGTATAATCGCCGGTCGCGTCGTCGTCGCCTCCTTCGGGCCGTGCGTTTTTCCCCCGCTTGCGGTCATGTATACATATAGCGGGGGGCCGAGTCAGGGGGCCCCCGGGCCGGGACCCCAACCGCAAAAGTGGGCGCTGCGGCGCTGGGGCGGCTGTTCAAGCACCCAGGTCGGTTTGAGATGGGCCCGGTGGGCCCCAGGTGGCCCCCTGGATGGCCAAGGAGAGCCCCTGTCGACGAACTGCCGCTCCTAGACGCCCAAAATACCCCCCTAATGGCAGAGGGCGCCGCCCAAGACGACCCAACAAATTTCCAGGAGTTTTCCATGTGGGGGTTCCAAGAGGCCCCCCCCAAAAAAGGAAAAAACTTGGACTCGAACCGGGGGCGTTGCGCAGGGTATGAGCCCGGCCGATAAGAAGGTTCATTGTGTCGCTTTACGCATTAGGCGCCCCGTGGGGCGCCCGATTTACGTCGCGCTCGTCTGAGTGGAAGTTGACGCATTGGTTATAGTTGAGGCAGAGTGCGAACACGATTTCGAATTGGTGTTCGCGTCGTAGCAGTCGGCCTCTCTCGCGCACGCCGTAGCCACATCGGCTCTAGCCAGGTTGAGCTCACAGGGACCCTTGCGCGAGACCAGTTTCGCGAGTATGCCTGCAGCGCCGCCATTCACGTCAGCGGCTTGGGCGGCGAGACTCCATGGGGAGTGGCGCCCGCCAGGGCCAGGCGCACAATGCCCAGCGGAGCGCGTGGCGTTGGGCCCGCGAGGGCGTGCCAACAGCACAGCGCACATCCCGCCTTTCACGTCGGCTTCGTCTGCGGCGCCGAGCGGGTTGGCAGGCGCCCAGGCAACCCACGGGGGTGTGCAGAGTCATGCAGACGCGCGGCGGTATCTGGCGGGCGCCCCAAGCTGGGGGCGCGCAGGCAGCCACGGGGTTGCGACACTGGGGCCCAATCTGTTGCAGAACGTGGCGCAGGCGATTTCTCCGCCCGGTGACAGAGCAAAAACCTTTGCGATTGCAGCTGCAGGTGCGCCTCCGGTGAACGCCCGCCCTGGCTGGTGGATTTCGAGACCCCTGGGCCCCCCAGAGAGACAACGCACGGGCTGGGCGGTGGCACAGGCCATGCATGAGTTCCACCGCGAGACATCCGTAGCACAAGCGACGGGATGGCGCACATTTGATGACCGCATGTCGTCGGCTGGCCTCGGCCGGCTTTTGTCGGACAGGCTGCTGCCCCGGCAGGCGGCGGCCGTGCCGGCGGCGGCGGGTGGAGATGGTTCTCTTCTCGACGAAGCAGGGCAGAGGAGCATGCTTGCGGCGATCGGCAGATCACTGCCGTCTTACATTGCCGGGGTGCGGTGGTGGGCTGCGTTCGTGGACGCGCTGGGGCGGGCGCGGCACTTTCCCGCGAGGGAAAGCGATGTCATCCGATGCGCGGCCATGTTCCGTCAGTGCGGCACTCTGAAGGCATACTTGACAAATCTACGATGGGCGCACCGATTCTTGCGGTTCAGCAGCGACTGGGACACGGATGCGGCGAGGCAGGTCCGCAGGGGCCAGGCGAAACAAGCAGACCAGCCGCGACAACGCTTGGCGCTGCAAGCCGGGGGGGTGCGAAAGCTTGTCGCTCACGCAGAGGCGTTGGGAGACCCCGAGCAAGCTGCGCTCTGCGCTGTCGGTCGGCTGTGTCTGTCCCGAATGCCGTCGGAGTGCATCCCGCTGGAGATCGACGGGGAGCATTCGCAGATCGCCCTGGAGGGCGTCGAATTCAGCATCACCCTGTCCCGGCGGAAGCCGGACCGGCGCCTTGCGGTCGTCCGGCGCGAGTGCTGCTGTCGGCAATCTGGGCGCTTATTGCGCGCGCTGCACCGCCTCATGCCGCTCATCGCCGAGGCGCGCCGGCAGGGGCGGCAGCGCGTGTTCACGCGGTCAGCGCAGCAATTCCTTCAGCGCATGAGGCAGCACGCCGAGCATGTAGGCATAGTGGACGCACACAAGTTAGGAACCCACGCGCTCAGAAGAGGCATGGCTCGAGACATAGTGGATTCCGGAGGCAGTCTAGCGACGCTGTTCCGGGCAGGTGATTGGACGAGTTTGGCCTTTGCATTGCATTTGCGTGACCACCAGGTAGAAGACGCAGCGGCCCTGTCGCTGCGAATCGACCACTCGGACTCCGAGTAGGGGGAAAAGAGAGGAACGAGAGGAAACATGAACAGCCCAGTCCATCCCTTCCTGGTTTGGCCTCCGCGCCTCATAACCCGCCAAGCCAGTCGGGGATGTCCCGCGACGATCGCGACGATGGGGGTCAGACAAGCGATCGCCTCACGATGGGTGCGGAGCTACGGCGACCCGCTTTCCCTGGTCTGACCATGCGACCCATGAGCGCGACCAGCGCGGGAACGCCAGCAGGCGGAGGAATGATAGTGGGTGTTCTCCTCCGCGGATAACGCGCGCGCGTTGTACGAGTGGGAGAACATAGCACGGCAATGGAACTTACAGTCAGGGGAGAAAGGGTAGTCCAGCGAGCAGGGATGACGGATTGTAGCATGGTGTTATCGTCTTGCTTATGCATCCGCAGGGGGCTAGCATTGCGCATTTGCTGGCATATTGCATTCATGTTGCGATTGGGCGCGGGCCCAGGCCCAGGCAAAAAGTTGCGGGAGGTCACGCTCGGACCTTGACTTGGCCTTCCCCTCCCTCGGGTGGGCAAGGGCCTGCAAGCACAGGCAGGGCAAGGGCCCTCAGGTGAGGCGGCGTTTTCGGCCCGCCAACCCACAACCACGCCGTTGCGACCACAGTATGGTGCGACTCGGGCAACGGGCGGCTGTTGCAAAGCTCACCAACAAGACTCCCGCGGGCGATTCTCGGACCCACCCGCCCGCCCACGCCTCCGCGGAGCTACGGCGACCCGCTTTCCCTGGTCTGACTATACGACCCATCGCGCGACCAGCGCGGGAACGCCAGCAGGCGGAGGAATGATAGTGGGTGTTCTCACATAACGAACTAGTGCTTTTCGATCTTCGCGTACATCATCCGTTCCGCATCTGCGAATATTGAGTCGCCCTCGCCGTCGTTGTCTATTCCTCGGAGAAGGGTGAGGCAGGAGGGAGGATGGAGGGAAGGAAGTATGGAGGTAGCAGGGAGGAGGGAGTGGGTAGGGGGAAGGAGGGAGGAGGGAGGAGGTAGGACAGAAGGAAGGAGGGCGGAGGAGGGGAGGGGTAAAACGCAGGGTTTATGTTTCGATGGCGAATCAGATGAAGCCGAAATCCTGTCAACGACAAGCAGCACGCAGCTGACATTACATTAGAAGGCTAACTGTTGCACCTGGGCGCCGCGGAAAACTACCCTCACGAGAGTCCAGATCAGTGCACAGTGCAGTTCGAGACCGAGCCGACGAGGAGACGTTGGATGGCGGGAGCCTGGTTCCCACTTGGGCTAGTGGCGGCAGCAGCAGCAAGCAGCGCGCTGGCGCTGGCTGTTTCCTTCATTCTGGCCTCGCGACGATCGAGGCAGAGCAGAGAGGATTCCGAATCAGTCTCAAACGAAGGGCGGATGCGCGGACACGAGCCGGCTGGACAGCAGGGCGCGTCCACCCGCCTTGAAATGCCGGCCACTGTTTTTGCCATGGAGCTCTGCGGCTGCAGGCGCCGACCGGTGCTGGCCCTTCTGGACCAGTCACTGGACCCGTCGGTTCGAAGGCGGCCGACGAGTGAGCCTCGGCCTGCCAAGTGGCGGGAATCGCGAGGCGGCAGGGCCCGGCGAGGTGGATTCACATGTACAGCGGCGCCTACGCACCAGCTCGGTGCATACACGGTTGGGAATTTTCGGACAGCGTGTCGCTCCGCCGGTTCTTGGTTCTGGCCCACGTTTCGGCGCGACACGCAATCCACTTCCCAGTCCCCGAGCGTCAAGGTTCCGAGCTTTTTCCAAAACCACAGGGGGCTGTCAGAAGGCCACGGGGCTTCTGAGAAGCCGCGCCGCCCTCTGAGAAGGCCTGCCTCCCCTCCCTCCCCCTCTGCGCGCCGCCAAGAGAAAGGAATGGAGGGCGGCCAAGCGCCATTCGGCCGGCATGTGATGCTCCATCCAACATCCAGTACTAACTGCACGGTGGATCCGAAACAGTTCGATCATGGCCCCAAGGAATTCGTTGCCTGCATTACGATTGTTTTTGCAGTGTGTGGCGTGACTGCCAGATGGCGAACTCCGTAAGACAATAGGGCCTGTCTGCACTGGTCTGGATGTGTCCAGCCCGTCTTCCACAATAGAGGTTGAACACAATGTACTCAGCATTGCCAGTCTCATCGGGTTTGGCGCTGAAGGCCAGACCTGTGTAACGCTAAAGAGGGATGAGGATGACGGAGGAGAGGGAGAAAGCAGGATGAGCAGGAGTGTGTGGGCGCTGGCGAGGAGGATAGGGAGACGGAAGGGTGAGGAAGGATATGAGATGAGGGAGGATGCGGAGGAGGAGGAGAAGGAAGAGGAGGAGGAGGAGGAGGAGTAGGGAGGATTAATACAAAAAGAAGGGGACCCTATCCTGCTACTTCCCCTTCCCTCTTCTTGTGATCAGTCCTTCATGATAAAGGAGCGCTTGCGCGAATGGTCGAGCTCCGATTGTGAGTAACTCGTTGCCGATCATGAGCATGATATTCAAATATTGAATGATCTCGCAGCCAGGACGTGTTGGTGTTCATCGTGTTCTATGAATGTGCATGTTTGGTCTTAGCTTTCTCTCCTGGCTCTTTGGTCGAGCTTTCATGTGTCAGCGTGTCGTGTTACGTCAGAGCGCAATTTCTCTTTCACACACATCGTTCTACACCTTAGTCCGAGAAATCGTCACTCATCGGATGCGATCGTCTGCAGACGCCCAGGTGGATAATTTCAGGCACGGCACGGGCAGCCAGCATGGCAATGGATACATTTATGAGGCAAGCCCGCAGCCAGCCTTCGCGACAGCGCGCGTTGTTGGAACAATGATTGCCAACGTCCACATTTAGCCATGAAGCTCATGCTCAGGGTTTACGACTTTGGGGATGTGTTCATTTTTTGTGGGGCTTGGAGGGGCTCGTTCTGAAACGATTGCCCGACCCTGAGGTTCGACAGCGGTGCACTGCTCAGTCTTCTGATCAGGGTGCATGAGTTTGATATCAGGGTGGCTGTCTTGCGGTATCGTTGGTTCGCAGCAGCATTGATTTGGCATGAGTCCGCTGGGCATGCGAATCTCGTATGTAGACCAAGTGTAACTTTTCGTTGGCACTCGAACATGCGAGTTCGGATCTTCACGCCTTAAAAGGACTTCTTTCGCCGGCGGCTAGGCAGAGTCACTGCCGTGCAACCACCCCTGGCGGCTCCCCTTAGGGGTGCTGGAACCAGCGTCCCGCCTGAGACATCCTCACAATCTGCTCTCCAAGCGAAGGATGTTGAGCCCAGAAACAAGCAAACCGCCTGAGACATCCCCACAAAATGGCCGCGAACGAGCCCGTGCAACCACCCCTGGCGGCTCCCCTTAGGGGTGCTGAAACCAGCGCCCAGCCTGAGACATCCTCACAACCTGCTCTCCAAGCGAAGGATGTTGAGCCCAGAAACAAGCAACCCACCTGAGACATCCCCACACAATGGCCGCGAACGAGCCCGTGCAACCACCCCTGGCGGCTCCCCTTAGGGGTGCTGAAACCAGCGCCCCGCCTGAGACATCCTCCAAATCTGATGTGTGTTGAGTAAGTCTGAGTACGAGTAGGTCTGAATATGAGTATGCCTGAGTATGAGTAAGTCTGTGTAGGAGTAAGTCTGTGTATGAATAAGTCTGGGTATGAGTAGGTCTGTGTATGAGAAAGTCTGTGTATGTGTACGTAAGTCTGTGTATGATTAAGTCTGTGTATGATTATGTTTGAGTGTGAGTAAGTCTGAGTATGAGTAGGTCTGAGTATGAGTAAATCTGAGTATGAGTAAGTCTGTGTATGAGTAAGCCTGAGTATGAGCAAGTGTGAGTGTGAGTAAGTCCGACAGGAGGGGAGGAGAAAAGAGGATGAGGGAGGAGAAGGAGGAGTAGGAGTCCGTAGCCATTTTGGCTCAAGATATCGCCGTTTCGTGGCACAAGGCAAGGTTCGAGGGGGCCCCGCGCGCGTGGGGACCCCTCTTTTCTCTCGGCCAGCTCGCCTCAGGTGGCGGCTGGGCCAAACTCACCAGCTACATCCCGTTTGACCAGTCGGTGGCAGCAGCGCGTGGGGCGGTGCATGGCGCCGTCAGCTGGCCAGAATAAGGATGTGCTCTTGGGTTCAAAGACTCCTCTCTGGTCCTGCTCGTCCTGCCATAGGACGGGCAACTGGGCCAGAAGGGTGGTATGCAAATGTGGTGCCAAAGCCCCCCCGAAAGTTGCGAACGCCGCTCGGAAAGCTCATGAGGAGGCCCTCAAGGCAGGTGGCGGAGGAGGCGGCCCCAAGGGGCCCAAGGATAAAGGCAACAAGTGGACGGGAGGGGGAGACACGTTGGCGCAAATTCTCAGGAAGCTTGAGGCCCTCGGACAAGGACAGTCGTCAGGACCTTCATCACCTACCCCCCCAGCGGCTGGAGGAGCAGGAGGAGGAGGAGGCGGCGAGGAGGTCGAGGGTGGCAGAGCTAAGGAGAAAGACAAGGAGAAGGATGGAGGAGAGGAGATTAAGATACTCCAGGCACGTATTGCGTTTTGGAAAAACAGTTCCAGGTTGTCATGCTCGGAGTCGGACAAAGAGGTGGCTGACCAGAAGATCAGTGAGCTGGAAGACCAGCTCAAGCGTACTAAGCCGTGGGAGGCACAGCAGTTGTCGATTTCAACGCGTCTCTCGCAGGCGGCTGCTGCAGTTGAGGCGGCCAAGAAGGCTGCCAGGGCTACGGAGGAGGAGGTGCAGCAAGCAAAAGCAATCCTGGATAAGCAAGTGGAAAACGCAAAGAAGAAGGTGGAGGAGGCTGAGAAGGTGGCACGGAAGGTGGAGGAGGAGGCTCGTACGTCTCTTGCCCAGCTCGTTCCTGTGCAGCCTGCGGCAGGGCCCGCCCTCTCGCTCTCGTTCTCAGGACAGGCCGCGGCGGCCGCCCTCCAGCACGGTGACAGTTTCAAGTCGTGGCTGGAGGCGCTACAACAGGCGCCAGAGATGGGCAAATTGCTTCAGGTTCTGCAAGCCCAGGTTCAGGAGCAGTGGCGTGATGCTGCCCTTGCTCATTCTCTTGGCACTAATCCTTTCGTCTCTGCCAATAATACAGCAGCCCCGAGTCAGATGGATGAAGATGAGCTCCCCGATCTCTCCCCTGATGATTGGAAGTATCTGTCAGAAACGGCAGCTACCCAGCAAGGCCCTGCTCCCACTACCCCAGCGGGAGGAGAAGCAGGAGGCGATGAGGAGCAGAGGAGGGCAGAGAAGGAAGCAGCAATCAAGAAGTTTAAGGAGCAGCAGCGTGAGCTTCACAAGATGTTTGAGCAGCGAGGCTTTGTCATCAAGAAGCTTAAGAAGAAGCAGCAAGGGTAGTAGCAGCAGGGCTGAGGAGGTGGAGGAGGTTGAGGAGGATGAGGATGAGGCAGCTGATGAGGGCAGCGTCTTGCCAGTGCCTGCGCAGCGCGAGCGAAGGAGACGTCAGCCTCGCGCGAAGCAGGAATTCAGGTTCCTCACCTCCAACGCCAACACCTGGGAGTCAGCCCAGGCCGTCCTCGATTGGCGCGCCGAGCGCGCCGAGCCCATGCCCCAGTTTCTTGCGCTGCAGGAGACGCGGCTCAAGGATGCCGCCAAGGATGATAGTATGCGTGCACGTTTACGCTACCAAGGCTATCGCAGTTTTTCGGCGCTCGCAGTGTCCACAGGTGATCACCTACTTGCTTCTTCGGGAGGGGTGGCGGTGGGAGTGGCAGCTCACATTGCATCTGGACGCATCGAGCCTAGCAGTTTCCAGTTTTGTAATGCAGCAGGCACGGGTCGTGTGGTAGGAGCTCGAGTACGGGCAGTGGTGCCGCGTGGTTTGCTCTGGCTGTCTGCGTATTTTCACGATGGTATAGGGTGCAGAGGCAAGAACTTAGACATGTTGGAGGGTCTGGGTATGCACTTGCATCAGAGTACACTGCCATGGGTTATGGGATGTGACGCTAACATGCAACCTGATGATCCAGGGTCAGCGCAATGGTGTGCAATCATTGGAGCAACGATTCTGGCCCCGTCTTGTAAGACTAGCACGGCAGGAAAGGGCAGTACGCTGGATTTTTTTCGTCGTGTCCCGAGGGCTGGAGACATGCGTCACAAATTTGCGTGCTTGGCTGGAGGCCCCGTCGAGCCCGCATTCTCCTGTTGAATTGTGGCTCAGGGGAGTCACGCTCGCGATGCCAGTGCATGTTAAAGTGTCCTGGAAGGTTTTCCCGACTAAGAGAGCTGTGGGTTGCCTATTACCTGAAGTTCCTCGTGATTGGATTTGGGAAGTTTCGGACTGGGGCGAGCTCTCGGTTGAGCAACTTTGGCAGAACTGGATTAGCAATGTGGAATCGGAACTCTGTGATCAGTTCGATATCCATGGGCCGCTTCGGGGAGAACACACGGGTCGTGCTTCTGGGTTTCGTCGCAAGCAGGTTCCCCTCGAGTCGCTGTTGTCGAAGAAATGGCAAACCCACAGTTCCCGCTCCTCCCGTGCTTGGCGCTCGCTTGTGGCCTACTTGATGCAGGCCGCCCGTGTCTTTGACATAGAGAACACCGAGCAACGTCTCGACGAGTGGCCTCGTCTTGCTGATCGTTTTCACGGCTTGCGCGAAGAAGATCTACAGCCCAGGTTAAAGAAGCTTGCCCCGAGCCTGGAGGCCCTGGTCCAGAACCTCTGGGAGTGCGGCACTGAGGAGGTCCCCAGGTTGCTCACCGAGGCTCAGGAGATCCACCAACAGGTCCTGAAGGAGGATGCTAGGAGGCAGTGGAAAGCTTGGAAGGAGTGGGCTGAGCAGGCGGTGAAAGGTGGAGGAAAGGAGGCTCACAGGTTCAGCAAGGGGCCCAAGGAGACCTTAGGGCCCATGGGGGCCCACGGCTGGACGCTCCAAGGGGACGAGGCCATCCAGGAACTCATGAAAGAATGGGGTGACATCTGGGGCGACCTCAGCGAGGGCATTAGTGCAGGACAGGCTCGCTGGCTTCAGGCTGCACCGTTTTTGCCCAGGCCTTCTGTCGACGACTTGAAGGCAGTGCTTCGTCTTTTTCGTCACGACGTTGGCCTAGGAGTGGACTGTATCAATCCCAGAAGCTTTTTGCTGCTCCCTGATATGTATCTGGATAGATTGATCGATATTCTTATGGCATGGGAACAGAATCCAGTTATGTCACCACTTTGGCCAACGGTGATTGTTTTTATGGCCAAGCCCGACGGAGACGGGCTTCGACCTATAGCGCTGATATGTTCTATGCTGAGAGTATGGGCGCGGTTGCGCCAACCAGTCGCGAAGCAGTGGGAGGAAAAACACAAGTCCGACTGCTTCTGGGGGATCAGGGAGAAGGAATGCGACAGAGCGGGGTGGCAACACAACATGCTTGCGGCGTATGCCACTATAGTGAATATGACCTCTGCGACTCTCTTCTCCGACCTCCATAAGTTCTACGAGCGGGTGAATCACGGGGTGCTGGTGAGGGAAGGGATGGCTACCTCTTTCGATTACCGTGTGATTGCTGCTGCTTGCGCTCTTTACTCAGGGCCTCGTGTACTTGCCTTTCAGGGTGCCGTCTCTGAAGTATTTCGTGTGCCAGGTACCGTGCTAGCAGGCTGCAGTATTGCGATGACCCTCGTGAAAGTCCTCCTCTTTCGCACGCTCACTAAGATTGCCGATGCACATCCTTCGGCGCACTTGAGGAATGTTGTTGATGATATCTCGGCCCAAGTCCTGGGCACGGATCGGCATGTACTCACGGAGATGACAGATATAGGGCACAAATTGGTCGAGGGA